GAGTTCCTTCGTTATCTTTTAGACGGTTTACATGATGACGTTAATAGAATTATTGAGAAACCTAAACCGACCTTAACGGAGATTAACGAAAAATTGAGCGACAGCTTTAAAGCACAAAAGTCATGGTTGATTTATTTGAGTACATATAACTCTAAGATTGTAGATAATTTCGTTGGTCAATTAAAATCCACGATGAAGTGCACACATTCTGGACACTCATCTGTAACCTTCGATCCTTTCTGAGATTTGTCACTCCCCATACCAGGAAGAACTAACCAATTGAGTTTATCACAGTGCTTGGGTTTCTTCACAAGAGAGGAAACTTTGGATGGACATGAAAAACCGACTTGTTCAAGTTGCAAAGAAAGAAAAAATGCACAAGGTCTCTATCGATCCATAAGTTTCCCCATATTTTAGTTATTAATTTTAAAAGATTTTCTCTAACAGAAAGATTTAGAGGCAAGTTAAATGTTGCCATCGAATTTCCTCTAGATGGATTAGATATGAACAATTATGCAGCAGATAATGTGACTCCTTGTCGCTATAATCTATATGCACTTTCGAATCACAGTGGGTCTACCTACAGCGTACATTATACAACATTCTGCAGACATCCTTATAATGGCACGTGGCACGAATACAATGATTCACAAGTGTCACCAATTCACCAAAATTGCTTGTGAGTGGAAATGCATACATCCTCTTTTATGAAAAGGAGGAAACGAGTTCGCACCTTTGAGCGTTTTGTAAAGTTATTTTTGAATTGTTCATTTTAATGTTATGTATTATCTAGTTGAATGTTTATGATTAAATTGATAGATAGTAACTTTCAAGCACAACTGAAATGTTAGTTGTTGATCTTAGTTTTGAAGATTTAATTCTTGATGGACATTTATGATATTGTTAGCGTCTTTGTGAAATCTGTAAAATGGTTCGTTTGTGCTATATTTATTATTTTTTCACTATTTACTTTTGGTCTAAGTGTTCCTTCACCCATAATTATGTGAAGATGTTCAAAACCTTGTGTTATAATTAGACTGTTTATGTATATGACCTGCTACAAATATTATGTATCGTAGTTAAATAAATATAAGTCTATGAAGTAGTCCATAAACATTATGCACATTAATGTGTCTGTAGAAAATTTATGATTTCTGGCACGGAATGAGGCAAACGAGAGAGTTCATAAAAAAAACCAGTGCCCGGATCTGCTAAACCACAATCGTAAGGTTGTAAGGGTTGTGGTGCATTGCAGTATGAGGAAACATCTGATCATCATGGGTCTAACAGAAAAAACCCAATGCAGGTTCTGTCAAGAAGAAGAAGCAACCGCACTGCATGTGCTCTGTGAATGCGAAGCGATACCAAGGCTGAGACACGCAAGATGCGGGGAAGAGAAACCAGAGGCTACTCTATATGAATGGATCAGTGTCAAGGCTATGGAGTCTCATCAAAGAGATCAAGATAGACAATGAGCTTTAACAACCAAGAAGCATTACAAAAGATCGCAGTGAATCAGGCCATGGGCTAGCTCCCCAACAATCTAATCTAATATATTGGCTGGCGATAGGTTTGTGAGTGAGTGGTCCGATCCAGGGGCTCACGCTCTCACCAGATTCAACCCCTCCATCTTTCTTTTTATAATGTCAGCGTGAAGCTTATAATACTCGACCTAATAATGAAAAATCTGAACTGTCGGTTTGAGTCAGACTTAAAGTGGCAGTTGTTCATGTTTCCTGTACAACAACTATTTCGAAACACACCATCTAATCATTTAACTTTGTTATATACCATCGTATTTAGTAATTTTACGAATTTACTCAATCAAGAAAATGAAAAAAAACAAAAGGTAGAAAAAAAAAGAAAGAAATAGGATGAAGGAAGAAAAAGAATAAAATGCAACTAGGCAAAGAACAAGAACTGAACAAATATAGGAGAAGAAAACCAAGTAGATATAGCTTTTGAAACCCATATGAATTAGCGGTATTTTAAATAAACTTCAAAAGAGTATCCTACATCCGTCAACATGCACGCCTGGTAATAATCCATACATTAAAAGCCTTCATATGGTAGATACTGACTCCTAGCCCAAACATATTGATTATCAATACGAAATTAAATTATGAATGGACTGATCCGTTACTTGATGGAAATTACACAAACATTTTAAATTTCAAATGCGTTTCGCAAACACAGTAGATTCCTCCTAGAAATAAATATTACATACACACTGGGTTGTAGTTCTTATGCTATATAAGAATAATCGGTACCTAACTTAGGCGGTTATTAGTAAAAGGTAAAATTTGTAAATCAATTACACTCTTAATATTTGGACATCAGCTTAATTTTGAATATGAATTAACCTTTTGGTATAATGCCGAAAAGTTTCAACAATGGTGAGTGGACACCCGAACCTGAACGTTTACCCTTATTCTTTTCCAGCGACTCCAGCAAGTTCAACTTCTGTCCCTTAGCTTCCACATGGAGCATGTCGTACATAGTGTTGAAATCGTGATCGTTCTACATAGGTAGAATTGCTCTTGATAACAGATCTTCTCTGAACTGTTATCATTTCTATCTGTGACTTGTTCTTCATTTCTCTTCCCCAGGAATTAACAGTCTTACATGGTATATTGATATTTTGTTTATATTATTTATTTTCATCAGATGTTTTTCCGGTATATGGGAGTGTCTTGTTTATAGTTGTCTGTAAGGGTTGGTTTATGGTAAATTTCGAAATTGTTTGATATTGATTTCTGTAATAGTTATCAATTACATAAGAATCGAAATATCCATACGTCCCCAGGTGGTGGATAGGGGAACGGCTAGGGGACTGGAGGCCCTGTCCTGGAAGCCAATGTGGCCTTACGGACGGGGTCGCCAGACTCGTGGTCAGGGGCAGACATAAGTAGGGTGAGGGGAACTGAAACCCCCCCAGAAGCCTTTGCAAAACATGCCACCGTGGAGCAGCCTACCCAAGCTAAAGTGTAAGGAATCGTACCGACAGATGAATGGCCGCGGGGTGATATGCGGTTACGAACGATCCCCTTGGGGAACTGGGCGAAATCTCATTGTAATCAGCCTACCTTTGGTAATGAGGTGACCAATTCTTCCCTTGCTACTCGAGGGAACACAGATGAATGAAACAAACACAAAAACAGAAACAACTAAAACAAAAACCAATTCCGAGGCTGGACAGAAGTGCTCACCTCAATCTAAGGCGGTGGATGAGGATGCACAGAAATGTCCACCCCAATCTACCGCTTGGACATAGCAAATCACCTCGTGATGTAATACAAAGGCCAAGGCGTGAGCACATTTTTGGCGGCGAGGCCAACAGGAGAAAGAGGACGAAGGAGGCAGGAGTGGCAGCAACTATAAGTGCATCCGCCTTCTCCCCCACTTCCCCTTCAACAGCAAGGGCACTTCCTGCGGCGGGCGCCAAGAGCTCCATCTTGAATAAAATCAAGGAACCGGCTGCCCCTTCAGGAAAGCTCCCTCCCTTGTGCATCTCCACAGGGGGAACCTCAAGAAGGTTGAAGAAGCCGCATAACGACAGTAATGTCACTGCATCTTCCAAAACTTTCGCGGAGGCCACCGTGAGACATCTCAAGGTTGCCAAAGAGAGTGTGTGTTCGGCGAGTCTTGGCCTACACCTGCCAATATAAAGGAGATGTCTCTGAGTGGCCTGTCCATCTTCCTGGAAAGGACAGGATGGACGATGACCTAGGAGGACAACTCCTCGGGAGGATATACAATGGGTTACATATAGCCTAAGTGCTGTGGGTCTACATTCATTCTCCATACTCTACAGATACAGATACAGATGTTCTGTGAAAGATATGAACTTTAGCGATTGGTAAGATATCTACCTGAACTTTCATCCTAGCAGTTCTCTGTTATAATGAAGTTAGCCTGATAGAACATGAAATACAACTGGAGTCATGTGGTAAAAGTTGTTACACCCCTCATAGGCTAGGTCACGATATCTGTTTTGGAAAATGAGGTGGTTTTGGTCACGGATCTTCTCATCTGATTCATTCCTAGTTCCAAAACAGAAAACTGTACACACCTCAGCAACTTTTAATGCTTTATGAAGTTCAGATCAGACCTTTTGGAGTACTTTTCTCATGTATGGAGCGCTGCCTCCAAACATACCCTGAAGTTGCTGGATTCCACCCAGAAAAGAGCCATTCGCCTGATTAGAGACGCGAACATCACGTGCAACCTTGATAGCCTGAAATATCGAAAAAAGGTTGGAGATTTGTCTCTCTTCTGTAGATACTTCCACGGGAAGTGTTCAAGTGACTTGGCACTTGGTACTTATAAGGAATACGCGACGAACTGTAGCTACTCATCGTTTTGAGGTTAAACTTAGTACACCTCGAACTTCACTGTTTAAGAACTCTTTCATTGGACAACTGCGTTTATATGGAATAAACTTCCTGAGAACGTTTCTCGAAATGGATTTAATCTTCAGCGATTCAAATCCAATGTGAATCGCTACTTTCACACAGGCACCGCTCTGAGAGCTCCTTAAGGATTTTCCTCTAGTGCTTGTGTTTTGTCTTAAAAAAATCCTTCCTGCTCAATTTCATAGGAGCCCATGAAGGAAGCTGTCGTAACGACCACAGCCAAACTATCCATCTATAATAACGGTATTAAGGTTGGCAAATCTGTCGAAACTCTCATCTACACAGTTGAGTGCTGAAAATTCAAAAACATCTGTGATAATTTCCTCATTCATTTCCTCATGGAAAACTCAACAGTCAATTAAAAACACACACGTGTACATATACAACAGTAAACAGAGTATTACTATTCGGTTGTGAATACGAATAAGTGAACAATTGCTTCTATTGAGAGCATTCATCCAATTGAATTTCAATACCTACATACACTTTCATTATATTCAAAAATCACTAACTATTAACTACTACTAAATGTATTCAGTAATACATCTCTATCATTTCAGAACTGGTGGATTATAAAAACCAAATATGAGCAATATCATTGAAGCTATAAGCATCCCAAAAAAATTTTTTACTCTATCTGGACACTGGCCAGGAGCAAAAACAACGATTTTTCAGAGGATATTATTCTGTCTGGAAATATTATTCAGTCTCAGCTTGCTAGCAGAATTAACAAATCACTTCGATGACTATGAAATCCTATCTGAACACCTGTCTATAACAATATCACCAACATCCTACTTGATTAAGTTAATCATTTTCAAATTCAAGTCCGATGCTGTACAACATTTGATTAGTTCAATCAAACTGAAGGAATTCAACAATTGTCCGAAACATTTGAGGGACATCATTGAAGAAACGGTCAAGTATTCCAAATTCCTTGGTCACGGCTATCAGTTGCTCTGCTTCGTAACTGTTTTGCTTTACAGTTTGGTACCAGTGTTTACAAAGGCAGATTTACCAGTAAAGTTTTCTTATAACACAGGAAACTTCAAACCAGTAATGTATGCCTTTCAAGTAATTGGTAAGTATTTTCAAAAATTTCTATTCTAAAATGTATATGGTGGAATTGGCCGATACTTGATGAAAATCCATAACTGTCGTATTCAAAAAACACTTTATTGTGGGATTTTCACTTAATAATTTTAGAAAAACGCAACACGTGTTTCGCCATACAATGGCTTCTTCGAGCGTGATCAAGTGGAAAGTTGAATGAATTTCAAGCAGAGTTGAGACATGCCCGAAGAAGCCATTAAATATATGAGTAGTATTTCTATAAGTAGATATTGAAGGCATGGTCAGCACAGCATCAAATAATTCTTCTATGGATATATTAGCGATGAGTTTAATGAGAATATGTGCTGCTCAGATAGAAATACTCAACAGAAAGATAATTGGCTTGAGCGATGAAAAATATAGATCAGATCACATCAAAACGAAACTTAAAGAATGTGTGAAACATCACATGAAAATAATAAGGTATGGCAAAAGTAATGATAAATATTACAGTAAGATAACATATTCCACTTCCCATTTTCCATGTTTCCACCAAATGCGTGTGCTTATAACTTCCTATCTCCACCAAATTTTCGTCATCAAACCTGATCAAGTGGAAAGTTGGATAAATGTCAAGCTGAGTATGATAATAATTGAACATTCTTCAACGTTCACAGGTACCACAAACTTTTGAACAAAGTATTTTCCATGATAATATTAACGCAGTATGCTACGAGTGCAGTTGTCATTTGCAACCTTGGATTTCAATTAGTACATGTAATAATTACCTAAAATATCATTTCTGAATTGTAATATGTGATCATTTTTCAGGTTAATCCTAAGAGTTTACAGTTCGTACGTATGACAGTATATTTCATTGCCATGATGATTCAACTAGCTATGTATTGTTGGTTCGGAAATGAAATCATAGCAAAGGTAATGGCAGGTATTTCAAGTTTTCTTTCACGTAGATAGTAAGTACAAAAGTATGAAGATTAGAGGTACAGTGCATCTCCAATCTTGAAAACGATAACATAGCTGCCAACCACTAGCGTCGATGAAGCGTCAGTAAGAAACTCCTACAGATGTACACAAAACCACAAACAGCTTTAAAGATAAAAAAGTAATGCGAAGCAAGTAATCAGAAAACCTACATTTCGTCAACCCTTTCTAAATATTAAAGGTTATATTCACGAACAGATGCAACTCACACAGCTACACCCTAATGTATTTCTTGATACTGTCTGTTTCGATTCACTTCAAACTATTTTGGATGATTTGTTATCCTTAACACTAACCTCTAAGTCTTATAAGGGGTTGATGACTAGTTTTCCCAACTTGTATAAGATTTTTATATTTCGGAAACGGAAGGTGACGAATCTGCAGTCAGTGTAGCAACGGCTTCATTGGTGGAAATTCCTAACCATCTAGCTTTCCACCTACTGTTGATCTTGAATTCCAGTCGTTCAAAATTCAAATATCAATATCAAATAGCTATCCTAGCAGTAGTTTCAATTACTATACAAAAATAAATTGATGAATGTAGCCGTTACTATGTGGTAGGAGATCATAATGAAAGGAGAAATGAAAATTTCAATGTTTTTTACCACTTTTATTTGTAACTAACGTTACTGCAGTTTCGTCCTATATGGACATTCTCAAACTTATACCATAAAGTTTATTGTATAAGTTTGAGAATGTCCATATAGGACGAAACTGCAGTAACGTTAGTTACAAATAAAAGTGGTATAAAACATTGAAATTTTCATTTTTCTTTTCACTATACAAAAAAGTAAATAAAGGAGTGTTTAGAGTGAGTCATTCGTCGCTGTTCCTAGATTCCAATCAACATGTTTCTAGAGTTGAACTTTTGAAGTCATCTGAAAGTTTGTTGTCATGTGACGCCCCCCACAATTTGACTCACTGTCATTCATTTAGTGGCCATTGTTCAAGGCATGTTGAGCAAAACTATACGTCTCTGGTCTATGAAACCTAATATGAGCAAGCTGCTCCTGAAATCGATTAAATTTTTTTTGGCATTTTTCATACCGTTAATATGTAACCATCATCTAATTTTTCGGTTTGTTCAGTAATTTTTGACACCAGCCTTACAGTGGAAGCTGAATAGAAAGACGGAGGACGAATCTTATTCAGTGATCTATGTCGATTCTCAACATTACCTTTGAGCTGTATTGCCTTTGATTTGTCTTTGATATTCGTTAATTGAGTCTTTTGTTGATCTAATGAATAGCGTCATTGTAAACGGAGGTGTCATTTGTTTTTCCTGTCCAATACTTGAAGTATTTAAAAGCTAATTTTAAGTTAAATTTTTCAAAATTCTGGATACACTCTATTGTGTTCTAGATCATATAAAAAAACTTAAACTTCAAGTCTTTGCCTTTCAAAACAGATAAAGAAAATCTCAAAATTTTCGTAATTAATAAACCAACTAGGTCTGAAAGGTATCGGTCACTTTCAGCCATTTCCTTGAAATTTTTTTCGAGGTTCGAGGTTTTCGAGGTTGAGGTTGAGTGGAAGAACAACTCAGTAGCACTTGTGCTAACTAAGTTGAACTTCGCCTTTTGTTACGTCAGCAACTAGCTCTCTAATTAATTAAATATTTGTATGTAACTACAGCTGGGTAACAATAAAGACGATTATTATTATTATTATTATTATTATGTATTCTTGTCGCTCAAGAAAAACGTTGAAAGCCTAAGACAAAAAAAAGACTTCCATCATCTTGTGGATGAAATTGGAAGGTATCACTCTTATCGCGTTTTTCATATCTAGGACATTCAAGAGATTTTGATCTTCGCTGTCTTCAATTTCGTATGAAAACATAATATTCTGGAATCCGTTGTTGAGAATACGCATGAAATCCTTTTTGAGATAGATAAATATACTCTATTGTCAAGAAGATGATAGACAAGGCACTCTAAAATCCATTTGTACAACCATAATTTAGGAATGGTTCAAGTTTTAAGCTTGATTCGAATATGATTTGAGTTGTACGAGACAGGTTCGCTGGTAAACCTGGTCGGTAGCCGGGCGGTTCGACGTGGGTGCTTCGTTCACTCACTCAAATCGACCGCCGTGTTGGTCGCTGGGTCAAGCCCCAGGCTGAACGATCGATTTTCACTTTCTATCGTCCAACCCGTGTTAGGAATCACACGTTAAAAGGTAAGACCTCGTTTCAACTTCTGAGGGTTGTCGTTCGTAGGGGTGCGACAGCTGGTTAACATACCTACCCCCAGATCAAACAATCAGGAATAAAGAAATGGGTAACTTTAACATATTGTGGTAAAAGAACAGAGATAATTAGGTACGTCTTTCTTCAGAAAAAACAATGTGGAAGTGGCATTCAGACCACATGCCAGGTTATCTGATTTTCTTTTCAATGCCAAAGATAAAGTGGACAAGTTGGAGAAATCTGAAATTCATAAGCTCTAGTGTCCGGAGTGTAAAAATGTGTGACAATGTGGTCGAAATTTCTTAAAACAGTATATGGAACATGAAAGGTCCTTCAGACTAGGTAAACATGATTCGACGTTTTCAAACAATTCCTTGGCATGCAACCACAAGTTCCTGAATCTAAACGATACGGAAATTTTGCACTATGCAAACTCAATTATTTGGAATCCTTGGAAATTCATAAGCATGAATATTGCTGGTGCAACCTATTAAATGATCAAATCGATTTAGTTTACTCACCGGTTTTCAAATAAGCGTATCCACATTGTCCCAGCTACAGGTGATTTTTGTAATGTTGATGAAAAAATAGTTGATCGTTCAACCTAGATTTCAACACACTTGGTAGATCTCAAAACAAGAGAACTATTGAAAAATACTTATATTTCAGGATCTAGCATTACACTCATAACAGTAGGAATCCCAAGACGACATAATTGTTACAAGCTCTACTTCAAAATATTACAAAATATCTGAATGAGGCAGGAAGTAAATAAGCAAAAAGAAGCTGTAATACAATTTGTGAATCATCTTAACATGCAATTTAATTTATTTTTATGCCCTACCACTACAATTTCTATTCTGCAACATAAACATTTTCTATTCTGTTATATGTTCTTCGTTATTCTGCTTTCATATTATTGTCCAAATTATTCTCTCTGTACACCTTTTAGCATTAGATTAGTTTTTTCGGGTTTTGTGTAGTTATTAATTTCTGACGACTGTGGTCGGAGGTTATTGAAATAGTGAAATGATGTCTTTATTCATTAGTTTTTCAATTGTATATAGCGATTTCGATTCTGTGCATCATAGATTTCCAAATATATTCATGAAAACTTATACTGGATTTGTATCAAACAAATATCAACATTTTCGCTTCAACCAATAGCATTTCTACATACTTTTCAGAGCTTAGCAATAAGTGATGCTTGCTATGAATTCAAATGGTTTGAATCAGATTTGGAGACAAGAAAGACAATAATTACCATAATGGAACGCAGTAAACAACCTTTATTCCTCAAAGTCGAAAAATTTTCAATATTGTCTTTACAAGCTTTCACATCGGTAAGTAATTTTTGAAATGATTATTACAGTGTATCACCGTGCCAATCACATATCTTCACGTGAGGTCTAATTCTCTATTGATGAAATCATTTACATTTGAAAACTATCAAGATATATATTTTTTAAAACCCATTTTGTTTTGCTTTAGAATATTTATATCAATTTCAACTGAATAAACAGTTCATACAAAATGCCATAGAGAGATAGAGTCAGTTTCATATGCCGCCATATCAGTTGAATAGTGTTGCTATCTTCTTCGAAGATAATATTGAAAATATGAAATTTTAAAAGCAGAGAACTCGATAGGGAAATGTTCTGTTTCATAAACACTTTGAAATCAGATCCCTAAAACGTGATCAAGCGTTCGTGATCCAAAAACCAGACAACGCTGTCAGGTGCTGATTCACGAATGCTTTATTTTCGAGTTCTGATTCAAGATGCCTTGCAGTGAAAGGCAGAAGACGAATCTCGTTCGGTCGTCGATAGCAAAGCTTGGCTTCTTAGGAGGAGATATAATTGCCTTCAATTAGATAGACAGGTCAATCATTATCATTATGATTGTATGAGTCGTAAATTGAACGATATATATTTTATCCGGAACTCTGGAAGATAGACATTTTCGGTGGAATCTTCAGGTGAAAAACAACTATGTAAAATTAAGAGGAATTTTATCACAATTCATATTGTTGAAAGAGTTCCTGGACATCCTTCAGTTGGGAATTGTTCACCATTCTTTGATACAGTCACTTCTTTCTTATGGTATCCTAGGCTGGGTAGATGTGATTGACGTATATCTTGAGAACCTGAATGAAATTTAGCGATTTAAGTATTTTAGAAACAATTGTTGGGAAAGCTCTATTTTATCCGACCGACGACTCATTCAATTAAGCTCGCATATATGATGTTAGACAACTTTACAGCCTGAATATTCTGTGCTTTCACAATGTTTTCAAAAAAAATAACTCATTCTCATTGAGGAAATAAAAAAATGTGAAAAATGTATTCCTATTCGTATGTCAGTTACGTAAAATGGATTGATTCCTTGTTGCAGGTGATTAGAACTTCTTATTCGTATTTTACACTGATGCAGACAATGTATCAAAAAAATCAAAATTAACACCAAGAGCGTAGTATCACAACCCACAAGAGAAAAAATGTAAAATTTATGTTTATATCAAAATAAATATAACAATGATGTTCAATGTTTAATAAATCACATGCATATCAGCAAGCATTTTACTTTCTACTATTAATGTTCAGTTCTCCATTGTTTTCAGTCGTATGACTCAGACTTATAATTGTGAATTACATGATTGACATTTTTAACGATAATTTTGTCAACCCAACAGTTCTTCTGTTCAGTTCTTCAACTACCTTTTCTGATAGTGTGACGAGATGGGTTTTTCAGAGTAAATACTAATAATTTATGTATGTTATCCAGGGTGTCCATATGGTACATTCACTACATAGCAGCAGCAATACCAACTTTATAAGGACATTTTTTGGTTGGATCAGACATACCCAGACATGTGGATTGGTAGGCGCCGTTCACCGGATTTTACTCTTTTCAATTTTTTTCTTTGGGCCTATATAAAATTTAATGTCCATGTTACGCAACCTGAAACTTGAAACTCGTGCTATCATTACCTCAAAAATATTTCAGAATGTTGAAAATGAGTTCGAAAATGGTTCGAAAATGAACTGCTTCACTGTCAGGGGGTTTGAGGAGAACATTTCAACCATTTGCTCAGACAGTTTTTGTATGTATAAAATGAATAATAACGAGATTGAAAAAAGATAACTTTCGTTCTATGACCTGAAATCAACCTTATCTAGTACAAACGATGTTACTATTTTATTTCACTTTTCAATGAACATTTTTTCCAAAAATCTGACAGGATGACGGAGTTACGGAATTTCTAGTCGCAAATTCAAACATCAATAACTCCGCCAATGGTTATCGAAATTAGAAAAGTGAAGGTCCATGTATGAAGAATTGACGTTTCGCTGGCGCTAATGTCTAGCTTCCTCAGAGATTAATACATCCTGCGTTAATATCTCCGATGACTGTCAGATATTAACTCTAGCGCCAGGGAAACGTTAATAAGAAATTCCAAAAATCTGCGGCCTCCAAACACGGAAAATAGTGACACTGAAATACCTTTCATTGGAAATATCACAGGACATCCCTTTCCATCTGAAAAAATGCGAGTGTGCTTTAGACCTTCAGACCACACCACCACACGACTATATACAGGGCTATTCAAATTCGTTTCTATACATGGGGATCTCGTAAACGATAAGAGATAGAGTGTCGATTTAATTGTGGAAAAGTTGTGTATTTTAGAGACCTATTCAGTGATCTGAAAAAATAGAATATAGCTCTTTTGGTTCTGGAGATATACAGGAAAAACAAAAAAATCCCAAATTATGTTTTTGCCTATATCTTCTTTATTCGCGGACATATTGAAAATCTGTCCACATTTGCTATTGGCACTTGATGTGGGCTCTCAGAATATATCCATGAATCTTTTATACAGGGTGTCATCTGACTTGGGCCACCCCCATCTTTGAATTTTTGATTGTCGTTCGTAGAGGTGCGACAGCTGCTTAACGGAAAAACATATTTTAAACAGATTTTTTNACTCAGTCAACCAATTTCCAGGGCCGTAATTTAAAAGGAAATAATTCACACAATTATAATCGAATATTACCGAAAAATCCCAAAATATAAAATTTAATTTAATTTCTCAGTATGAAGTGAACGTCTACGATTCGAAAACTACAACAAAAAATACAGGTCGGTATTTGAAAATTCAAAGATGGGGGGGGCCCAAGTCAGATGACACCCTGTATGAAAGATTCATGGATATATTCCGAGAGCACACAACAAGTGCCAAGAGCAAAATGTGGACAGATTTTCAATAAGTCTGCGAATAAAGAAGATACAGGCAAACAAATAATTTGGGATTTTTTGGTTTTTCCTATATATCTCCAGAACCAAAAGAGCTATATTCAATTTCTTCACATCATCGAATAGGTCTCTGAAATATGCAACTTTTCCATAATTTAACCAACACTCTATCTCTTATCGTTCACGAGATCTCCGTGTACAGAAACGAATTTGAATAGCCCTGTATATACAGGCCGTTGTTTACGATTGAATGGGAAAAAAGGTAACTGTCATCGAAAACAATACAATGATCGAAGAAAATTTACGGCTACTCTCGCCCTACTTAAGAACATTGATATGCAATATTCCCAAGAGAATGGATTGAAAACAATGGACCAATTACCTAGCCAGCTTGATGCCCAGATCTTACTCCTTCAGAAAATTACCATAAATTTTCGTATCTGTTACGGTTTAGAATATAGCAATGTTAACACATGATAAAAGAAACGGCCTGTATATGTTATGGGTTTTCATTGATAATTTAACATTATTGAATACATTTTCATTGTTATTTATTATTTTCATTATCGAATACATCAGTGATTACTGTGGTTGATTGTAAGACCGAGACAATATGCTTATGGTAAGTATGGGAAATAAGATACATATGTTTTCAAATGAAAATTAGAAAAATATCTAGAGAAAAGTGCATCGATTATTGTTTCATGTCTTGTGGTAGGGCCATTTTGGTTATGATTTATTTGTTCTTCTAATTTACCTTGTAGAAAGTTTTCCGAAAGTTATCCATTCTAGGACTTGAAATCAACATTGAAATCTCTTGGTAAAATTAGTGACAACGTATAATAGTTTTCTCCTAATTCTTCAGCGTAAATGTGTGCTCGCATCTTTCTCTTTTGCCCCTACAGTAATATACGAAACGTAACTTTCTTTTTCTATCTCCAAACTTATTCCTCTGTCTCAACTGCCGTTCGCCTCGCCCGATCGCACTTTTCGTAACCCTCTCGTCATGCATTCACCTGCTTACAACCCAAGTTAAGCGCGCGTAAAGAAGTTTTACTTCAAAAAAGTTGAAAGCGCCCTCTCAGCGATAAGTAATTTCACACCATTGGTTTTTTTTTATCAAAATACTCAAAATCATTCCTTCTCACAAAAATTTTGTCCAACTCTGATATCTTGCCCCGCTCGAAAGTTAGGAGAGAGGGTGTATAGGTTCCTTCATAATGGGATGGTTGAAATTAAAGACTGATGGAGTGTTCACTTTAATCTATTGACCTTTCTGTTCTAATTCAGATTTTCAAATCACATCTCGTCGAATGACGATATACTTTACAAATCATAAATAAATATACTTGCAATATTAGCAAAACATAGTTAACCTAGTTATAAGTAAGAACGATTAATGTAGAGAGTGTATTTATATGAATGAATATTTAAAAGAATATGTACACGTCTCTAAAGGGCACTACATCTCCCCCTTTTGGAAGAATGAACTTCATTCCGGCCGAAAATTAANTTTGATCATATTCAATTTTACGTTTCTCCTTTTCCTCAATTAAAAAATATCTAGCTCTTTGGTGAGAAATTTGTAAACGATGTTTGAGCTCTAGATAATATGCGTCAGGGTTATATACTGGGTCAATTTTGTCAGTCAGTGCGTTCGTCAGTTCGTGTCTTTTTCCAAAAATTAGTTCGAAGGGTTTATAGTTATGATATATACTGGGAGTCGTATTGTAACAAAAACTATAAAATTTTTATCCATTCGTCCCAGTCTGTGTGTGTATCGTTAACGTACATTCTAACATACTCGTTAAGTACCCGATGATTTCTCTCACAGCCACCTATACTCTGGTGATGGTAGGCAGTGGAGAATTTTTGTTGGATATCTAGTAGTTTACACACTTGTTCTAATACCTCGTTTTTATATTCAGTTCCCATATCAGTCCGTATTTCGCGCATAGGACCGTAAATCAAAATGAAGTTATCAACTATGGCCCTTGCGACAGTTAAAGCGTCTTTATTAGTTATAGGCGCTATAACAACGTATTTTGTCAATTCGCACTGAGCTGTAACCGCATAACAATTACCGTCTGGTGTTTTAGGAAATGGCCCTATGGTGTCTATACAGTGTCATTTTTGACAGGATTTTACATAGTTGGCTACGTCCTTAGACATATTTTTCCAACGAAACTTAGCCCTGATTTTTTTTAAGATCCGCTTCTGTCGTCCACAGTGACCACCAAAAAGTATATGATTGTGGTACTCTGTTATAATTCTTTCTTTTTCGCTTCTATTTGTGATGATTGTTGGTTCATCATATAGTATTATATTTAAATTTTTTAACGTATTTATACCCTTTTCTTTAAAATCGTTTATTGTACATATTGTAAATATAGGATCTTTTTTTTTGCTTCTATTTGTGATGATTGTGGGTTCATCATANTATTGAACACACAATCAGAACTAGGTTTGTCTAATGCTATTTGCCAAAATCTTGAACTCATGTCAATAACAGAACAATATTTTTTACCATTCATAGTTGCAATTACATCTTCCTGAGTAGGTATTAAATAATGTTCCCTTTTCATAGCTTTATTGAGATCTTTTGGATCAAGGGATAATCTAAGAGATCCATTCTTTTATTCTACTATTACCAAACTATTAACCCAGTCTGTTGCTTAATCAACCTTCAACACAACACCTATATTTTCAAGTTCATTCAATACTTCTTTCAGTTTGGACCTTAAAGTGAATGGAAGTTTTCTACAAGCATGAATTGCCGGAGTCACATCTGTATCTAATTTAATATTATATTCACCTCCTATTTTTCCTAGGCCTGTAAAAATAGACGTATGATTTTCTATCAATTTATCAATTTCACAGTTATCCACTCTTTTAAGGATATTCAGTTCAATACAGCCTTCCAACCCTAAAATAGGTTGAGATTCTACATTTGTTATCAAAAAATCTAAATTGTGTTTATTTGCATACTAATTATATTTTACCTAGAGCCTTAGTTTCGAAATTACCATAACTACTAACTAAAATCGCATTTGTTGACTGTTAAGCTTCAAAGCATCTTGTTTCAACTATTCTAACACTCTTCGTGGTAATAAATTCACCTCACTTTCCGAATCTAGTTTGAAATTGATATTATGTTTTCCAATTTGAACATTGGAATATCAGGCTTTGGTTATTTCATTAAT